GACAGTATCTTTATAATGAAGAAATGAGAAAAATGAATAACAATAAGAAATAGATAATAAATAAAAATGAATAAAAAAAGAAATAAATAAGAAATAAGAATAAATAAGAGAATATGATGAATAAAACAATAATCAGATGAAAGAAAATAAGAATAAAATGTAAAATGAAAGAATAAAAATGAATGAAGTGATATAAATAGTACTATTATTATATATATAATTAATATGATATATATCTATATCATAATTGTATTTATATAATTAATTATTTATTCATAATTATAAATATTATATATATAATGAAAATCTAGAAAGTATTTCATCTTCATTAAATTTTATTCATCATTAAGAAATTTCAAATTAAATTTCAAAAAATTAAAAGAATATTCATAAAAATATTCAATACAAATTAAACATGTATATAAATATTAATATAAATAATATATTAAATATAAATAATATAAATAATAATAACGAAGATACATTATATAACACCAATCATCGTAAAGAATGATTAATATTTTAATGTCATAAAGAATTAAGTAGTATTGATAAGGGTCACAATAACGAAATGGGATTAATCAACACAATTTATTCATTATGATAAAAAAGATAAAAATAATAACAAAAGATGAATAACAAAAAATAAAAATGATAATAATAATAAACAACTATGATTAATTACATAAATAAGAATACTATATTATAATTAAGAATGAAGTGATGACATCGACAGTCACAAAAAATTACCTATATATACTTATTGTAACAATTTATTAGAGTAACAATGGCCCCGAAGGGGCCATATCGCGCTACGCGCGATTGTTACTCTAATAAATTGTTACAATAAGTATTATATAGGAGAATTGTTACACGTGACGTGGTAACCAATAAAGTATAGTAAAAGCCAATAGTAAAATATACTATTGGAAACTATACTTGATATGAGGTCATAATTATTGTAACCAATTTATTAGAGTCTAATTCTCGTAAGAATTCGGGAAACGTCATCCTAACGAGATCTTAGATAGGGTTACACCTACATTATAGTTAAATTATAGTTTAATAATAAACTATACTAATATTTAATGACCCTACCATCTAGATATGGTCATTAGATCAAGTAATGTACGGTACACCAAAAGGATATATTAGAAACATCTCAGAAGAAGAGACAGAAATAGAAGAAAGACCACTTATACTTGGAGATTTTAGTAGACTTATTAAGGATATTTCATTAATTAATGAGAAATGTAAAATACTAACAGGAGGTTGTGAATTAACGATCGGTGATTATCCATTTATTTCCGTGAAAAAGATATTAGAAGGACATATTGAGATTATAGACGAATTAGAAGAAGCTGTCAAATTATTCAAAAAGAATAATAATCTTCTTATTGATAAAATAAAAGAAGGTAAAAGAAGAGAGGAAAGAGAGAAAAGAATAGATGAAGCAGAGAAGAAGATTAAACAAGAGACAAAACCAGAGAGAAGAAAGACTAGACCTCTCTAGTTTAATTTAATTGATTTATTTTTAGAAAATGTTATTTATTTTTTGTTATTGTTTTCTAAAAATAAACAATTTGTTATTTAAACGCATAATTAGAAAAAGCATTCAATTAAAATGATCAATGTCTGGTTGATAGTAACCAGTACGAATAAGACTTAATAGATGGACCAGTGGTTTGGGGTCCATTAAATTAGAATCAACGTCCTTAATAAGGAAGTCGAGCCACATGAGTAAGTACTTAGTTGGTCTAAGGTTGTACTCATGGTCCCAAATACGGAACCAATAGACCAAACCGTAGAGTACTATCTCGGCGGTCTCATCTGTGGCTCGACTTAGCTGTTGCCTAACTTCCTTAGCAACAGCACTAAGAAGAACGGAGAGATTGGTCTTAGGTTGTCTATATTCCATTGAATGCCAATAACATTATTAGCTGCGTTTAAATAACAAATTAGTAGCTGATATGAGGTAGGATATGAGGTAGTAGATGACTATAAACTATACTTAATAATAAAAGTATAATAAGATAAAAATAGAAATTGTCTGTTTTGTCTCTCTGTCTGTCAAAATTGTCTGTTTGTCTGTTTGAATGCCTACCACATCTAGATATTTAAACAGTCACTTACGAATAAGAAACATCATGGAAGTCGAGGATAAGATACAAAGCACTAAAATGGAAAACGTTCAAGTAAACGATTTGAACGATTTCTTTATAGAAATGTTCGAGCTCAAGGACATTTGCGACGACTTTGTAGAGCTATTTAGAAAGGAGGAGCGATATTACTCCAACGAGGAGAAATACAATGAGCTCCTCGAAGAAGAAGCTATAATGCTTGATTCTATCCACAGCTTAACGGATGGAATAAAAGAACGCTATCCGAATGTAATAGAAGCATTTTATGAAAGAAGAATGCATCGGATGGAAGCCAAAATGATGAAAGCCTTCGATGAAGTGGCAAAGAAACCACGAATGCCAAAACAAGAAGATAAATAAATCTAATTGAATTCTTTCTAATAATTATTTTGTTTAATTAAAATTAAATGAAATAAAAAATAAATAATAAATTAGTCTTCAATATCGTTAACAAAATTGAAGTTCTCTAATAATTCCAATAAACCTCCAAGTTTATTAAAACGTTCGTCTTTTCTGCAAGAATCGACGAAACCTGTAATGTAAAAGAAGAGGATATCACTATAATTATAGTGCATCTCCTCAAATCTCCTCATAAAATATAAAATGGAATAGATTAGACACTTAGAGTCTAAATCTATATTCTCATTATCGAGGAGACCCTTACAGGTTTCGTCGATATCTTGCACGATACTTGAAAGAAGAGGGAACATTGAATGAGATAAAAAGAGTTCCAGTTAAATATAAAATAAAACGTATGGATGACGTAGCAAACAGACAAAAATAAATACAGAACAGACAGACAGACACCTCATAACAGACAGAACAGACAAAAAGACACCCATAACAGACAATATTAGGATTAATAGAAAATTCTGTATAATTTAAAAAGTAAACTCTTTATTACCATACCATCCAAACAAAAATGTCAGAAAACAAGTACTACCAATTCCGTAGCATGCATGGCTACGTGACAATAAATTTAAAAGAAAACGAAAAGCTTCCACCAGAGACCACAATAAAAAAAGCTATAGAGCAGTGGTGCTCCACCAAAAACAAGGAGGCCAAAATCAATTATGCAATTATGAGCACCACAACCAAAGGGCCCAACAAACACATACACATGTTCTTCCAACTGGAAGATACAGCGCATACGAGAAAAAAGCCTTTCATCCAGCTCAATGATGAAAGACACTTTATTAAATTTACCCCCATAACAGAAAACAAACATTACGATGGGAGTTTCAAAAACATTATAGAGTACATAAAAAACCAAAATAAGAAACACCCAGAAGAGGAGGCAATAATAAAGGAATTTGGCAAAATGAACATGGATAGGGGCCGTCTAGGAGATAAAGACATTGGAAAGGCTTTAAAGATGACCGATCTTGAAGAAGCTCACGCTTTTTTAAAAAGTATAAGCTTGAAAGGCTATATGAATAATGTAGCCAAATTTGATACAATGTGGAACCAAGAACATGATCGAGATAACACACACAGAATCCACATTAAGCTCCAACCATGGAAAGAGGACAATAGTCTCGTCAAAAATAGTCGTATTTGGTTGGATACAGCATTAAATGGAAACAAAAAACGTATTAAAACATTAGTATTAGTAAGTGATACCCGTATGGGTAAAACTGAATTCGTAAATGATTTATTAAAAAATCTAAAAGTAGATGAATTTAGAGGTAGGTTCATGATGGATGGACATAATGAAACGATTAAATACGACATTAGATTGTTTGATGACGCTAATCTAAACGACATTACATGGCCCGAATTTAAATCATTAATAAGCACACGAGGTGAACAAATTACCATTAATATTAAATATTCACATGCACGGGTTATTTCAGTTCCAACAATTCTTGTATTAAATCCAGGAAGTTGGAAATCATTACAAAATACAGCTAAAGAATTTGAAGATTTCGACTGGCTTGAGAAGAATACAGTTGTCTTATTTACTAAAGAGAAATTATATGTAGAGCCACCACCTAAAGCAGAACTAATACAGGATAAAAAGAAGTATGAAGGATTAGACCCAAAGCTTGTTGAGATGTTATTAGAAGATGCCGCTGAACAAATAAGCGAAGAAGAATTTAGTGATGATACTGTTGATAGTTTAGATAGTATAGTAGATCAAATGGAACAAGAAAGCTTACCACCTCCTTTACAACTAGATATACCAGAGGAAGTAGTACCAACTAAAAGAACAGCTGAAGATGACCACGAAATACAGAAGAGATTCTTCGACTTAACGAAGAACGTAATAACCGAAGAAGGAGATGATAGATACATAACAGTACAAAGTGGAAAGAAAATAAGAATAGCTGATAAAGATAGTACAGAAGAAGAAAGTGAAGATGATCCAGATGCTCTAGTAAACAATTGGAACACAGGTAATTTTAATTAACTGTTTTTTATAATTCATCTTTTATTTTTTATTCAACATGAGCTATTGGTATAGACCAAACGTATTCAGAAGAAGATGGGGTAGTTATGGAAGTATAAAAAATAATTGGTACTCCAATAACTACTCATAAATCAAT